CACCTTCACTTTTACAGGGTTCTCCAAACATGTAATGTTTTAATGGCATACACACATAGAGCATCTCTAGCTAGGTAAAAAAGGAAGTGAAGAATAACATTAGCTCACTACCTTATATATACTATACTATTCCTATGTATAGCAGATGCAATTTTTCTTCATATTGAAAGTCTGCAATATTTCTTGACTACAGATAATTTTGACTATTTGTCTATTAAAATAGTGTCTCTTTACAATAACAAAGTCTCCTCATCATTCCTACAAATCAATGTGGGTAAGAATGCTTATGAACATTTCAAGCCATATATGGTAACTTTGTGAGGCAATAGATGATAGGGTGTATTTATTTATATATCTTTGGATTTTATTGTGTGTGTGCATGTATACATATGTGTGTGCAGCATATGTGTGTATAGTTTGTGTATGCACAATGTGTGCAATGTGTGTGTGTGTGTAGTCTCTCTCTCTGTGAGTGTGTGTGTGTGTGTGTGTGTATGCAGTATGCATGTACATAGGTGCATTGACCTGGGAGGATCTATGTAAAGGCCAGAGACTAATTTCTATGTACTCTTTTTCACTTCACCACTTTATCATTTGAGACAGTGCCTCTCAACCTAGAACATTGTTTAGGCAATAAAAATTGACCATCAACTTCTATACTGTAATTACAAGCACACACTGCCATGCCTGGCTGTTATATGGATATTACCAATCCAAACTGAGGTTCTCATGCTTATACAGTTAGACCCTCTAAACTGTACTTAAATATTTTTGTTAATAATTATATTTTACTAAGCTATGAGGAATAGGTCTTTTATTTTTAACCTCATTTATGTTTCTTTAAATTCTAATAAAAGCTGCATACTTACATTGTATAGATGTTTTAATAGACACAACCAGAGTGAACGTACTTCTGTAGTGACACCGATAGCATATCCATTCTTTGACACAGTGAAGCTTTTGTCTCTGCTTCTTTTTTTTTCTTTTTTTTTATTGAGAAAAGGAGAAAAAAAAACAAGTTTCCACCTCCTCCCAGCCTCCCATTTCCCTCCCCCTCCTCCCACCCTACGCCCCCTCCTCCCACCCTACGCCCCCTCCTCCCACCCTTCTCCCCCTCCCCCCACTCCTTTCCCCCTCCCTCTCCAGTCCAAAGAGCAGTCAGGGTTTTCTGCCCTGTGGTAAGACCTAGGACCTCCCCCCTCCGTCCATATCTAGGAAGGTGAACATCCAAACTGGCTAGGCTCCCACAAAGCCAGAACATTACGTAGGATCAAAACCCCGTGCCATTGTCCTTGGCGTCTCATCAGCCCTCATTGTTCGCCATGTTCAGAGAGTCCAGTTTTATCCCATGATTTTTCAGTCACAGTCCAGCTGGTCTTGGTGAGCTCCCAATAGATCAGCTCCACTGTCTCAGTGGGTGGGTGCACCCCTCGTGGTCCCGACTTCTTTGCTCATGTTCTCCCTCCTTCTGCTCTTCATTGGGACCTTGGGAGCTCAGTCCAGTGCTCCAGTGTGGGTCTCTGTCTCTATCTCCATCCATCACCAGATGAAGGTTCTATGATGATATGCAAGATATTCGTCAGTATTGATCTAGGATAGGGTCATTTCAGGTTCCCTATCCTCAACTGCCCAAGGAACTAACTGGGGACCTCGGCTTGGGCACCTGGGAGCCCCTCTAGGGTCAGGTCTCTTGCCAACCCTATAGTGGCTCCCTTAACTAAGAATTGTGGTTCCGTGCTCCCCTGTCCAACCTTCTGTTTGTGTGTGTATTACATATGTACAGCAATACTTAACACTTAACGTTTACGGCTTTCTACATGTGTTTATACATATGGAATAGTACTAGAAATTTGTCACGTTTTCTTTTAAGAACAAAAGGAAGAGTTGGCTGTCTATTAGAAAGCCCTAATAACATTTGAATGATATAAGGGACCAATAATACATCTATCTGTACATTTAAACAATATGTTTTCAATATGTAAATACTTTTGACCTTCAAAAACAGAAAATTCATATGATTCTGTCCCTATGAAGCTTAGAGTGAACAGTCCTTTATTTTTGATATAATCAACATTTTACTTGTTGGCAGTGATTATTAATATATTATTTATGGTTTTAATTAAACAGACAGGAATAGTCCATTCATCTCATAAATTTAGAATATACATTTGGAATTACATGTAGGTGTGGACTCAAGAAACAATTACTAAAAAAGATTTAAAAGATAAATATTTTCATTCTTTCCTAATTTGCAAGTTACAAACCATAAAGAAAAATGTATTTCAACTCTTTTATTTCTCATAGTCATTTGCTTTTTCCTTGGGGTCAAGTACATGGGAAAAGCAAAACAAAATGAAACACTGAACAAAAAAAGCATGGGAAAGATCATTTTCTGGATGAATGCTTCCCTGCTTGACCACCAGAATGGTAGAACTTCTATGAGGTCAGAAAATTAAAAGTAAGAAAAAACAATGAGTCACAACATTGCACACCCTCTTGCAAGGACAGACATTTGATCAAGGGTTCAGAAAATCACTGCAACACATGTGTATGTATACAGTCACCTTGCAGGTTTATAGTTCTTAAATTAAGCATGCATTATATTTATTTGTGTGAGATTATAATATCATTTTTTAATGCCACATAAGGCTTTGTGTCTTTTTTTTAAAAAAAAAACTATGTGATAGAAATTGAGTTGGGACTGTAAAGCTGACTGACTTAGAGGTGTTTCTGTTTTGGCAGCATCAAGAACTAAATTTGAATCTTCAAATCTACACCATAACTGCACAATAACCTGGGTCTATAACCCCACCTCTGAAGGGGTAATGACAGAAGGATTGCTGAAGCCCATCAATCAGGCAGCCTATGTAGATAGAAGTTTCTGTCCCACTAGCAACTCCAAAATAGACACATTGGTGCTTACATTAATTACAAATTCTCAGCCAATAACTCAGGCTTATTACTAACTAGCTCTTACATTTTAAGTTAAACGGTGTTCCTTATTTCCACTCTGCTACATGGCAGTACCTTTATTAGCATGGCACATTCATCTCTTGTTTCATTCTGTGTCTGATTGGCAGACTTTACCCTCTTCCTCCCAGCATTCTTCGAGTCTGGCTCTGCTTCCTAATCTTATTCTGTTCAGCTTGTGGCTTTTTTATTAAACCAATCACAGTGACATATATTCACACAGTGTAAAGAAATATTCCACAACAAGCCTAACTGAACCAATGAGCACCAGGTTAAATGAGAGACTACAACTAAAAAATATGGTCAAGAACAGTAGAGAAATACACTCAGTGTTGACTTCTCGCCTCCACATGTACCTGTATAGTACATATTGTGTACACCCACACAAAAATGCACAGACACTCCACACAAGCACATCCATGCACACACACAGATGAAACATTTAGATTTCTAACAATGAAATTTCCTCGTATAAAGTTCTACAGGCCTTATGGAGAACACATAATTTCTTATAAAGGACTTTGAACTATTTTTCATTTATACTTATATTTGTGCATTTCATATCTTTAAGGTTATTGTATTCATCAGTAGCACTGTTGTGCTGTTGTTTTTGTACCTTCTCTCATTTTTATTCTTCTTGACATATTTGTACTTACCTATGGGATAGAGAATAATCACTCAAAAGTGAGAGTAAAGCATCATTATTATAAGAGTAATTAGCATGTCCAGCACAAATAGTCCCAGGTCTATGTATTGAGAACCTGCATTGCTTTTCCTCCAGTTGGCTTTTGAAGTGTATTATAAATAAAGTATTACGCCACAGTTACCTTACTTTGCAACAGAACATTAAAATTAATTTCTACATCTAATTGTATTCTAAAACAAGCTAGCTGACTGCTCTGTACATTCTTAGGACAGCCTTCCATGCCCCAGTACCTTAATTCTTTTGACTTCCACAATACCAGCTGATTCATTTTTTACAAATCAGAACATGTAGCATATGTCCTTTTGTGCCTGGCTTAACATGATGCCTTCCAATGTAATTCATTTTCCAGTAGATGACAAAAATTTTATCTTTTCTTATGACTCAATAGTATTAAAGTAAAATTTTAAGAACAGAAGCCATAACTGTTCAGGTAATTTTTTTTAAAAAAATTACATTTGTGTTAACATCACATGTGACATATAGTAGACAATTTTGAAAGGTAAAATATTATAAAGAACTTCAGAAAGGTAAATCCAGTTCAGGCACCCTCACTACTATTGCTAGGAGTCTTAGATGGGGTCATCCTTGTGAATTTTTTGGGAATTTCCCTGGCAACAGGTTTCACCCTAAGACCATAATGGCTCTCTCTATCAAGGTGTCCCTTTCATTTGTCTCCCTCTCTGTCCACCCCCAACTCAACCATCCCATTACCTCATGTTCTCATCTCGCTTCCCCTCTCCTGTCATGGTCCCCACCCACAGTTTATCCAGGAGATCTCATTCCCTATGATAGGATGCCATGCTCAGCCTTTAATGCAGAGAGAGGGCCTTGGTTCTATCCCAATTTAATGTACCAGACTTGGTTGACTCACCATCAGGAATCCTTTACTCCTTGGGAGGAGTGACAGGAGGTGGATTGAGGTGGGAGGGATGAGAAAGACTGCGAGTAGAGGTGGGAGGGATAACTGTGGTTGGAATGTAAAATGAAATAAAACTTAATTAATTAATTAAAATAAGAACTGCAAACACCCAAATTTCCTTATGAAATACTCCATAGATATTATGTTTGAACAGTTAGGACCCAGGGAGTGATTCTGTTTATGGAAGTTATGAAGCTGTAGAAAGTGGGCCTCGCTGGAAGGAGTGGGTAACTGAAGATTGTCTTTGAGGTTTTGACTAATAGCCTAATTCCCAAACCTGTCTACCTCAACTTCCTTTCTCTTAAAGACATGAGACCATAAAGAGTTTCAGCTGCAGACTCCCAACAGCATGGAACCACCTGCCATCACGCTTCCCTGCGATGATGGACAGTACCCCTTCAAACTGTGAGCCAGTAAAAATACTTATTCCTCAACCATAGACGGTCACATACATCAAAACAGTTGGTTCCTGCCGACAGAGTCTGTATAGTTATCAGATTTTCTGTGCGATGGCTCCATACATAAAAAAAAAAAAATACTTATTCCTGATGAAGGTTCTTCTTACTTAGCTTCTTTGGGATCACCAATTGTAGACTCCGTGACCCTTGTTTATGGCTAGAAACCAATTATGAGTGAGTACATCCCATATTCATCTTTTTGGGTCTGGGTTACCTCACTCAGGATAGTGTTTTCTATTTCCATCCATTTGCATGCAAAATTTGAGAAGTCATTGTTTTTTTTTTTTTTAGCGCAGCGTAGTACTCTAGTGTGTATATATTCCTTACTTTCTTCATCCATTCTTCCTTTGAAGGGCATCTAGGTTGTTTCCAGATGGAGATAGAGACAGAGATCCATACTGGAGCACTGGACTGAGCTCCCAACGTCCCAGTGAGGAGCAGAAGGAGGGAGAACATGAGCAAAGAAGTCGGGACCACGAGGGGTGCACCCACCCACTGAGACAGTGGAGCTGATCTATTGGGAGCTCACCAAGGCCAGCTGGACTGTGACTGAAAAATCATGGGATAAAACTGGACTCTCTGAGCATGGCGAACAATGAGGGCTGATGAGAAGCCAAGGACAATGGCACGGGGTTTTGAACCTACGTAATGTGCTGGCTTTGTGGGAGCCTAGCCAGTTTGGATGTTCACCTTCCTAGAAATGGATGGAGAGGGGAGGACCTAGGACTTACCACAGGGCAGGGAACCCTGACTGCTCTTTGGACTGGAGAGGGATGGGGAGAGGAGTGGGGGGAGGGAAAGAAGGGTGGGAGGAGGGGGAGGGAAATGGGAGGCTGGGAGGAGGTGGAAACTTGTTTTTTTTTTTTCTCCTTTTCTCAATAAAAAATGAAAAAAAATACTTATTCCTTTAAGGTACTCCTGTGAACTATTTGTTTATAGAAATGTGAAAAATAATATTACTTGTTTGTTTTTTTGTTATTTTTATTTTTTTCAACATGGTTTCTTTGTGTAGCTTTGGCTATCATAAACTAGTTCTGTAAAGCAGGCCTTGAAGTCACAGAGATTCACCTGCCTCTGCCTTTCCACTTGGCAAAAGCTTTTAAAAATATAAATATTTATAAATAGTGTATATTAGTTCTTCAGTAATTTAGAACCATACCATTTTAAACTATATTCCCATGGAAATAAATTCTGAACAGAGGACTAGTAACCCAGAGAGAGAGAGAGAGAGAGAGAGAGAGAGAGAGAGAGAGAGAGAGAGAGAAAGAGAGAGAGAGGGGGGACAAAGAAGAAGAGGTGGAGGAGGAGGAAGAGGGGGAGGAGGAAGAGGGGCAGGAGGAGGAGGAGAAGGAGGAGGAGGAGGAGGAAGAGGAGGAAGAAGAAGAAGAAGAAGAAGAAGAAGAAGAAGAAGAAAAGAGGGATGTAAAATGAGCTTGAAGCTAGCTTATCGTTTCTCCTCTACATCTCTATATTTAGGATGTAACTATCTGCTGATTTAGTATGGACTTTGTAGCACTATCATTTGCAGCATTCCTGGCTTTGGCAAAATAGTTCATGTTTTATACCTCAGTCTCATCATTTGCATAATGAAGAAGTACAAATTAAATTGAGTAGCACTCCTAAACTATTAGAACAACTTACAGCCAGCACTACCTCCCATTTGCCTTGTTGCAGTCGGTATCCTTAGCTCTAAGAACTGTAGTTTTGATTATATAAATGACTCACAGCCAAAATATTCATCTTCCTGTCCCCATGTTTATCCTAACAATCACACATTCATCTATGAGTGGGGACCTATTGCTTAGTGGAACCACACAGTTCAGACATGTGTTTCCGAAGGCTAAAGATCATAGCACAAGACAGTGAGAAACTTAAGAACAGACTACATCCATTGTCTCTATAATCCACAGTGATTTACATAGCATCTGGGAATGGTACTTTTGTGAAATAATAGATGAACTGAAAATATATTATCAATTGTGATCATAAGAGTAAAAGTTGGTGTTTAAATTGATATCTTAGATTTATAATGCTGTCTCCCTGTGACAAAATCAAACATCCTATTAAACTCTGCCAACAACATATTGTATGTGTTTCATATAGTTTTAATTGGAAAATTGTTCCCACTTAGGACACAAAAGATATTTATTAAATACTACTATGAGCCAGGCAGAATGCCCAGTGTTGTGGTAATTATATAAAGGAAAGACCCAGTTTAATTTTCTATCCCCATCTCCTCTCTCAAGTGCATCTCGGGCTCCTCAAGTAAAGAATTTTTGCCTCTTTCGTCTATAGCATCACTCTTTATTCTTCATGCTATTTTCATGCTTACTGAGGACAATTCAGAAATCACATATTCAACCATCTTAGTGTTCCCTCTTTCTTTCCTTTGGAAAGCAACAGCCTCTCAATAATTATACAACCTTCTCTAAATAATAGGATTATGAGTACACCGCCTACTTTTTTATTCCAAACAAATGTACAATTTTTAAGTATTTAATTATTTATTTAGTTGTGCTTAGTTGTATAAATACAATTTTATACTGAGATTTTACTGGCATCTTCCTTAGAACTTCATGACAGTCTTTAGCTTTCTGTTTTGGTTGACTGAAATGTCTCTGTCTCTACCTTTTCTCTTTGTGTCTCTCTTTGTGTTTGTGGTGTGTGTGTGTGCGCATGTGTGTGTGTTTGTGTGGATGTGTGTGGATGTGATGTTTGTGTGTGTTATGAGAAAATTTTGTTCCCAGAAACTTCATGCTGTCAACAGTCTTCCTGTGTTCTTCTCAGTGGAATTGCATGAGTTTGGATTTATGAGGACATTTTCTTTTTCTCCTTACTGGACACTGAAAGACTGCATAAGATCCAGCAGAGCAAAGATTCTGACGTCAGTTTCCACCATTTCCCCATGGGCTAATATTATAGCCTAAAAGACAGTTACTATTCTTTTAGAATCTTTGTATTTGTCATCTGAAAAAAAAGATTTAAAAATACTCAATGAGAAGATGGTTATAGACTGCCTGGGGAAGTCTAACAAATGTTAGCTCTTCATCCCAATTTATTGGCTAGAGTTGAGTCCAAAGTAGGTCATTGCCCTTTGGATTCCTGTTCTTTTGAATAATAAGGAATCTTTGTAGGTAAATGAAGAGAATATCAAGTACTCATAACTTAAAGGACATTACTGAGCACAGACTAACCCCAATGTAAAAGGCATTATTCTCAAATTGGAGGGGAGTCTGTGAGGAACTGGTGAGGTTTTGAGCTCTGAAGCATGAGTAGCAGAATTATGTCTACAGTTGTAAAATATTAGTTCTTTCTCCCTTCCCCCAAGCAGTTTCTAGTATCTCACTGCAACATTATCTTCCTCTCCTGTTTGTCAGCATTTTTTCTTATATAAAGCTTATCAATGCACTTTTACTTATGAAATCCTATTTGCATACCATATTATTTCTTTTCAATATATTGTCTATTTTCCCATTTTTATCATAAATTCAAGTCATCCTACTAAGTCTTAGTAACATACATAATATGAATTTTACTTGTATAAAATAGAATATATTAATGAAGTGCTGGATATTCCTTTGGAAGCTCAAAATGAGCATTTACCTTATGGGGAGTTAAAGTTATACAGAGTTATATGGCATTATGACAAATGAGGCAAAAGTGCATTTAAGGAGCATTCAATCAATATCAAAGGTCAAGACACTAAAATGACTGGATCTGCGTTTGAATGTATACACAAATCCACGTTATAGAAACAAATTCCCAGTGTAATACTGTTGGTAGATGGAACCTATGATATTGACTAGGTTGCAAAAGTCCTGCCCCTGCCAATGGATGAATGGCATTACTGTGGAAATGGGTTTGGTATAACTAGAGTTTATTGGTCATTTAAAAACAAGTTTGGGTTTCGGTTATTTTCTCTCATCCGGGTGTGCTGCTGCCATTCTGACTACCACCGTCAGTGATGCAGTGAAAAGGGCTCTCACCAGATGCATTGTGTTGCTGGGATTCACAAACTCCAGACAATGAGCCAAAGGGACGAAAATCTAGTATTTGCTCTTCCTCCTCTATGGGTCCATTATCAGATAACACTAAGACAAACGGAGAAGTCTAGGTAAAGTAATAAGTGGTACATGTTTAAATCTGAATAGAAGACTGAACAGATAGATTTGCCAGACCACAAAGAGGAAATGGGAATGAGTGACTAGTAGCCCACAAGCCAGGCACAGAGAATATGAAATCTGAAGGAACTTAGAAACACAAAACCGAAACAAGTCAAGAACAGTGGACATGTCAGATACTTTCTGGGATAACCACCTAAATATTCCTCTCGGTTGAGTCTATTTCTTTTATAACATAGCCTTGTTCCAGTGTGACTGAAGTGATAGATGGTATGTGGGGCTATTTCTCTCCCTAGCATTTCTGTGGACTGCCTTGCAATAGCCCATTCTACATCCTAGGTTATAATTCATCTTTCTTCACTAATTTCCAATTTACTGCCCACTTGATCAATCTGGGAAACCTCCAGCCACACATAGCTCATTTCTTTCAAGTTGAAGTGAGCTAGAGATGTGGCACAGTTGTTAAGAAAGTGAACGCAATGGCAGTTACTTCTCGTATTCATATACATTTATTGCCCAAGTAGTAGAACTAGGACTCACAGTTCTTGCTCTCATCTAAAGCATTTTGTAATATTTTGAATTTTCTTTATGGAGTATGTAAGAAAGTGAAAAAAATTGCAGAGTGGTAAATGGTTTGAAGATTACTTTTCAGCTGAAATCCATTCTGGGCCTTGTTCTCTGATATTTGAGAAGGGAAATCTGGGGGAATGAATGCCTGTGTTGAGAGAGTTAAGGGACTTATACATTGACCATACAGGTGTCTACTCTAACCACCAAAGTCTGATGACCTGCAAGATTTAGCAAGACTTACTTCACTTCTATCCAGTTTAGGATAACTCCCTGAGACTGTGGATGCCCTCAAGACAGACCATATGTCATTTGATTCCCAGTAATCGGTCATTTGCCATCTTCCCTCTCTGTTTTCTATTATAATCCTTGCATTGT